ATTGAATTACTAGTCGCATTTCTAGATGATCACAACAAAAAGGGAAAATAAATAAAATAACAAACCAACAAAAACAACATGCTATATGGAAATTAATCAACCATGCGTTATTCTATTCTGAAGTATTTAATCAGTGGTTTCTGTTTTCTGTAGCGTCGTGGACGAGAGGAACGAGCATCTCACTAACTACACGGTCCAGGTTGTAGTGAAATATGGACAGGTGGAGCCTTCAGTTTTGTCAACTGATACACCTGGAGAGAACGCCGCCATCGTCCACAGAAGTGTGGTAGAGAACTTGACGGTCTGTCTTAATCTTCAAAATACTGACAGTACATTTTTTCGTAAAACAAACCAAAAAAAAAAGAAAATCTTTTTTGATTTTGGAATAAAAGAACAAAAAAACATGTCTGTATCATCAGGCACTCAAGAAAGCAAACACAAAGGTCCATAAAAACATCGCCCATCTGGAGTGGGAGAATCGGGTATTGAACAAGAAGTTGGAGATTTTAAAAGAGCAGAAGAGGGAAATCAGGCGGCTTAAACTCTCAGAGGAGCAGAAGGAAATGATGGTAATCTAGTTCATAATCATAACTTTGTCTTTTGATTTCAGGGGAACTGTCATCTGCTCACAGATGATTATTGTAACTTCTCTGATGTGGTAATAATATGTCAGATAGATTAGATTGGCTATATGTAAAATCTTTTCACTTTAATTCTCCTGATTAATTTCTAGCCTGTTTAAGTTTACTGTGGTGTGAAACAGTAGATTTTACTTTTTAAACCTGATTTACATTTAAAAAAAAAATCAATAAAGTTATTTATAACAGTTCAAAAACAGCACAGACATGCGCTTTCAAGTTTTTATGCCAGTTTGGCATATGGCAGTGGGCTCCAGTAGCTTTGCTGCTGTTAGCTTCCTGACATTGTTAAAGCCCATAAAACATAGAGGAAGAAAACAGTGAATAGACAAAACTATTGTTCTGACTAATAATATTTCCCGATAAAGAAGCTGCCACATTTGTTGTGATATCTTTCATTAAAAGACTTCTTTCTCCCAGTTTCTCAGCAGGCAGGATTGGAGCACTCACACGGAAGAGAAAATTTCCAAAATGGAACAAAGTATTGCTTTGATGAAAAAGGTAACTGATCATTTTATTTAATCTCAAAAGCCAGCAAGACCTTAAATATTTGAATAATACACGGCATTCCCATTTTCAGATCCACGAGAAAAACATTCAGCAGCGCAAGAAAAGGTTGCAAGGAGTCAAGAAAAAGATGGCAAAGATAGCAGAGAGCAATGCTGACCTAGAGAAGGAGCTTCCTCGTGTTCAGGAGACTGTTGCAAAGCTGACACAGATCTATGAACGAGGAGGTAATGATAAACAGATCCACAGGTCCATCTCTCTTATTTCAAATATCACTGAAAAGTTGAACCCAATCACAAGATATTAATTGTATGGATTCATTATACACAGTGGTATACTGCATTTCAAGCCCTAATTGCTCATTAGGTGTTATGACTCATATTTCAGTTCCCCAGAAAAATAATATCTATAGGTAAGATACAAAGAATAATATATTTAATTAATAGAAGAATTTCAACAGTGGAATAAAATGTGCTGCTCAGCATTTCCACTCAATAGGCTTATTTTATCATTATAGCAGGATGGAGGTGATGGTCCTTTTAAGATGTATTAGTACAGTAAAAGATCTGAATCCACTACTTTGAATCCCCCACATGGACTTCATTTGAGAGTTGAATTCAGCGTTACTCAGTTTCAGGAACTGTCCTTAGCTGAGACTAGGGACTATACAGTTGTGCACAAGTTGCATAAAAGTACATTATTTTGTGGGTATGTGTGACACATGCTAATGGACACATTAGCATGTGTCATAAAGGCCATACATTTTTGGTTTTTTAATAAGAGCTTTAGCCGTTTGTCTTTTGTTTCTTGTACTGTTCCGGAAGGCTGCTGTAGTTCCAATTAGACATGCATCATTTGAATGCTTGTCCAACAACATCCCTTAGGCTGAAGGTTGTCTGAACTGAGCAAAGCAGCCAGGAACTCCATGATAGTGTTTTTTTTAAACTGTTGACCCTTTGAAAGGTGAAGAAATGTGAGCTATAAACGGCAGATTAAGGTATTCAGCAAACGAGCCATTTGATTCAGGTGTGTGGAAGCAGAGACACATCTTAACTGTTCAGGACATCCCCTAAACTTTCCATAAATAGGCTTGGACGCCGCTTCTGTGTCAATAACCATGTCCTGGATACTATGACATGTCTGTATTAAATATGTATTTATTGCTCTTATGTAACAGAAAATAATTTCCAGAATTGCAGTTTATTATTGGCTACAAGTCATAATCCTCAGTCAGGTTTAACAAATTAAATGCATTAATCTGAGTAATAAAAAAAAAAAAAATAGTTTTTAATCTTTGAATAAAAAAGCCTGAAATACAAAATTCTATTAGTTTACTCTCTGAATTGCACCTGATATTTTCTATGCAGAGGGAATGGTTTTTTTCAAATGTAGTTTTTAAACCAAGCTCTTTTGGCATTTTAGCTGG